GCAATCCCGGAGACAAAGGGAGACAGAAGGGAGACAAGGCGGACACAAGAATGACCAACAAGAAGAGAGACAAGAAGGGGAGACAAAGGGAAACAGAAGGGAGACAAGGTGGACACAGACAGAAGGGAGAAAGGGAGACAGGAGGGACAATGACCAACAAGAAGGGGGACAGGGAGAGGCGGGAGGCGGACACGCTGTCCCGCAGCAAGGCGGACACCCTTAGAAAGCATTGAGAACCCCCAACAGCAACCCGTTTGGGGAAGTAAAGAGATCACCTGGAAGACAAATGAATAGAAATGCTGCATGGCCAGCGGAAAAGGCAACAGTGCAGGCACGGAGCGTGGGAGACAAAAGTAGAGAAGTCACATGGGAGACAAATGAATAGACATGCTGCATGGCAGACAAAAGGAAAGAAGCTACATGGGAGACAAACGAATAGATATGCTGCATGGCCAGCGGAAAAGGGCGGACACCAGCAGTACAGGCACCGATGCATGGCAGACAAAAGGAAAGAAGTTACACGGGAGACAAATGAATAGATATGCTGCATGGCCAGCGGAAAAGGGCGGACACCAGCAGTACAGGCACCGAACCTGGCAGACAAAAGTAAAGAAATCACATGGGAGAGAAATGAGTACATGGCCAGCGGGAGGAAAAAGTAAAGAAATCGCCTGGGAGACAAATGAATAGAAATGCTGCATGGCCAGAGGAAACAGCAGTGACAGAAAGGGCAGACATTAGACGTGTCTCCCAGCTCTCGACTGCTATTTCCGCCTCTTCCTTGCGTTCCTTTGTCTCCCAGCTCTGGACGTCTCTAGTTGCAGAGTGTTCCGATTGAAAAACGCAAACTGTGTGGGGTCTAGGGCGGTGTAATTGAGAAATGAATGAGGGTGCGATGAATTGACTGCTATGATTTGAATGAAATGGATGAGGTAATTGTGTTTTGACTGTTATGATGTTGAAATATGGATGAGGTATGATTTTGAAAATGAATGAGGTAATTGCGTTTTGACTGCTATGATTTTAGAAATTTGAATGTCGTAATTATGTGTTGATATTGTTGAGAAAATAGAGCCATCAACAATATTAAACATGACTTTTTAGATTTTGTTTTTATGAATGAACTGTTATACTGCTATGATATTAGTTTAGAAAACTTCTTACAACAATGTTTGTTTCATTTGTTCACCCGGCACCCTGTCTCCACCATGCACAGCCAGCACCCAGTCTCCACCGCATGCACAGCCAGCACAGCACCGGCGCCCGCACCGGCCCCCTGTCTCCACCACACGCGCGCCCAGCTCACACCGCCAGCACCACCGCCCAGCACCCTGTCTCCGCCACGCACACAGCCAGCGCCCAGCACCGGCGCCGGCGCCCTGTCTCCACCGCGCGCAGCCAGCTCACAGCACCAGCGCCGGTGCCCGGCACCCGGCTCCACGCGCGCAGGCGCCCGGCGCCCAGCCAGCACCGGCACCCTGTCTCCAGCACGCGCGCACAGCCAGCTCGCAGCACCGGCGCCCGGCACCCTGCCTCCACCACGCGCACAGCCAGCGCCCAGCACTCCGGAGCCTGCTCCCGAACCTCCTCCGGAACCGGAACCTCCTCCAAAGCCTGCTTCGGAGCCTGCACCTGCACCGGAACCTGATCCGGAACCTGCTCCGGAATCTGCTCCGGAACCTGTTCCGGAACCTGCTCCGGAACCTTCTCCGGGGCCTGCTCCGAATCGGCTCCGAAGCCTTTACTATGGCAGAAGACCCCTAGCTTCGCTGTTGGGGAATGATTAATCTAACAGATCAAAAAAGAACCTTTTATTTCCCACGCCGGCAATTGAGAGCCCGACAAAACATGACAAGGCAGCTGCTGTGGACTTGTCGTGAAACAAATCATCATGATGCTGGTGCTTCTGATCATGATGGTGATGATGATGATGATGTTGATGATGATGTCACCGTGTTGTGAAAACTGGCTTTGCAGGTTTGCTGAAATGCACGAATGTTTGGGAACGCGTGGTATGTTGTGAAACGAATGATGGATGCTGTGGACGTGGACCATGTTGTGAAGCGGATGATGAATGTTGAGGAACGGGTGATGAAGTTGTGGAACGAGTGTTGAAGGTTGCAAAACGACCGCAAATTGAAAAATCAACACGCACCGATACATGCGTCGTCGATACACATGATATGCCGATCCCTGAGTTTCTGCAAACCATGCAAACCAACCTCAAGTTCTCAAGGTACATTGTTTTGTTATGTGTTCTTGGTTGGTGGTGTGTTGGCCCAATCGTAAACGGTCAACCCCCAGGTCGTCCAGCTGCCTTGGAAGCATTTGGGTGATTCCTGTTCCAGCGCAGGAGTACCATTGATCAAGATTTTACACAATTCACATGTCAATCTAATTGTGCAAATGGTTGGTCTTCAATGCTGGTGGGAAACAAATCGGTCCAAATATGCGGGAACATAGTGTTGGCGAAAATCACCGATCTGCGCACAGTTTTTAATGGTTTGAACTCAGTTTGCAGGCGCATGGATGTTCCCGTATTTTTTCCGCTTTGTTCGAGCTACCCATTTCTGATTGTCAATCGTGTGTACACAAATGATGATTGTCCCGCACCCGCGCCCCAGAAAAGAGCCAAGAGAGTAGTGACATGCACTCGTTCAAGCAGCTAAAGCAGCTATGCAGCGTATCAGCGCCCGCGCCTTGTCCAGGTCACACTGTAGCGGCGTAACAGCGTACTGGCATATCACTGCCCACGCCTAGTGGAGGTCACCCTTGTAGCGGCGTACCGGCGTCTCCGCGCTTGTGTCTTGTCCAGCTCACCATATCGCGGCGTAGCGGCGTATCGGCTCTATGACGCTTTGCAGACACACTTTCCATGCACGCTGGAATGTTGTGGAACGGATGATGACCTGGACGGAAAACCAAATTGAAATGGCAGGTGGTTGCTCAGGTCAGAAAGCAGTGATTGTCAATGGTCACCTCGCAAGTAGCGCCCTGAGGTTTTAGAGGAGTTTTACAAAATCCCGTGTGGTATACGGTAATTTTGCGTGCCTTCAGGGCCACTGGGTTTCGGAGGGTTTTGCCAACAGTATTTTTGCAACTTGTTCCACGCCTTGCAAAACAATTTGGACTGGCAGAAGTTCTCAGTATGTTCTCCGAAATATACCTTCAACTTGTCCTCCATGTTTAAAAGTCATGTGAAGGTATCCAGAGCCTGGTCCTGAGGCTGAAGAGGAGCTAGCTGGGAAAGAAAAACTAACACATCTGAAATGGTTTCAAATATATATATATATATGTGTGTGTGTGTGTGATTGTGTGTGTAACTATTCTGTTGTCCGATTGGCATCCCTTCATTTTAAAGCCATGTAGCCTCTAGACCCTTGTGGCAATGATTACTTTGCTACGGGCAAGTTTTTCGCCTCATAGGGGGTGACATTTGTTTGCAGGAGGGTTTGCATCCAGATTGGTCATTGGCGCAATGGGGGTTGAGCAGTGGTTCTTTGTTGCAGGCGCAAGAATCTTTGGTGTTTTGAGACAGGGTTTCTTAAGCATTGAAGCGGAGCGAAGTTGATTTCAGTTGCCACATCCTCACCGTGCCAGGTGGAGGATGAAGGGCAGGGGTGGTCGATCAACTTAGCAATCCGCGAGGAGTGCCAAGCCACGAAAGTAAGAAACCAGCTCGTTGGGTTCAAAAGCATTGTTTTCTTTGCACCCCGTCAACTGGGGTTACATAACAGCTCTTTTACTTGGACAATGACAAGATTGCTCGCAGGAACCTGATTTGGACGAACAGCCATTTCCTGGAGGATTCAAGGTCGCCCTGTTTACCCACACTTTGCTCCTTTTGCACATGTATGTAAGCAAAATTAAAATATTGGATATGCAGTCCAGAGTATTTATCCATGTAATCGAAGCTTAATCTAATCGAATCTAATCTAATCTAATCCATCCGTCCATTTGTCTATCTATATCTATCGATCTATGTACACAACTTTGGCTCATGTTTTACTGAGAAGAATGGATGACTCAGATGTTGGTTGGCTTTGCCAATCATGCAAGTAGAGTGGAATAGAACTGGGGGTGACAAGACAGCAGGATCTGACCGAGATGACTCAGGTAGAAGCAGGTGCTGGTGCAGGCGAGGAAGCAGCGAAGGAGCTGGTCAAGCAGTAAAGACTTGTCGGCGCGCTTCCACATTGACCATGTGCTGTGAGTTTGCGGCCAAGCCTGGCACATTGTTTGGCGCTTGTCGTATTGGTAGATTTCAACAAGGCCCTCTCAACAGGGCGGTCCCTCGCTTTTGCACGTGGTTTCGGTCTCGTTATTGAACGCGGTCCATTTGCTCGATTTGCACGCACCACCTTCATCAGCAAATACAGTGAAGGAGGCAATAAACATAAGAAAAAATTATACAAGCATAGACCCCAAACAGCTTCAAAACGATTCGTTTAGACCAATATTTGTCAAAAATCGATTTCTTGGTACGCCCTACCTTCACCCCAAGAGCAAACTGCTTTGAATTTTTGTCGGCATTGTATTTGTTCGGCCACACTCCTCTCCAGTAAACCGGGCCACAGAGACCAGCCACAGAGTTCAGGGGCGCGGCCAAGACAAGGACAAGAGGAGGACAAGACCCGGACACGCGGCCAAGACAAGCACAAGAAGAGGACAAGAGGAGGACAAGGCCTGGACACAGAACAGAGCCCAGCCACAGAGGACAAGAGGAGGACAAGGCCTGGACACAGAGCCCAGCCACAGAGTTCAGGGGCGCGGCCAGTGAGTGTGGCCAGCTCTTTTTTTTCTAAGATAGAACCCCAACAGTAAACTGTTTGGGGAACTATAGAACGAGTCGACTCACATCGACCGCAACAATCTCCAAAGCCAAGAACAGCCACGACAAAAAGAAGAACACCAGCCGCTAGCACTCCCAAGAGCAACAACAGAGTCGTTAGGTCGGTGGCAGCTTTGAAAGGTATCGGCTGTGCACAGATGTAAGCTGTGATTTTGTGGCCATCGACCAATCATGCCTTTAGCCCCACAACTCGTAACATATCAGACCTGCAATAGTAATCCATGACAAGCCTCACATCTCAAATAAAAAGGGTGTTTGCATGTGGCATGGAGTCTGGGCAAAAGGGAGTTTTGATGATGGAAGTGTGTAAGTTGAAAGGCAATTGAAAGGCGCGTGTGCGAATATGAGCTACAGATGTGTGCGAAAGCAAGGCACCGCCCCGACCCCGACCACAATCTTTGATTCAGTTACTGGACCAAGTGTCCAGTTCTTGCTGGCTGGCTTCTCGCACGCCCAAAAGTCTCAGACCCGGAGAAAAAAATTGATACACTATACAATAGTTCCTCTGTGCCTTTCTTGCAGTGATGTTTTTGGAACAACCAAACGGCGCTCAACCACCATGTTTAAGCGATCTTAAGACCACTCAAGACAAATTCGATACCCCTTCGGTCATCACGCGTGAGCTCCACATTTCTGGATATTTTAAATCTCCAACACTGACTCTGACAGCGCTACATTCAAAGGACACACAGTTGTACCAACTCCACACATGGGATTCAAGGTAACACATTGTTTTTCTTGACTAATGCCACAGATGAGCAGCCATACGCGCAGAGAAAAACAGAGAAGGTCTAACCGAAACAGATGTTGCAATCCTAAAGGCAAAGGAAAAGCAAAGTTGTTCTAGCTGAAGATGTCCAACATTCCGACGGTATTATTCTGTCTCCAAGACCTAAAAACGTACTTCAATAATTTAATAAATTTAAATACTGTATATTATATATATATATATGTGTGTATAAATGAATGGTCGCACTATGACCGCCAGTCTCAATGCCCAGTTTTCATTCTCTTCAAAGGGCGGCTGCTGACCAGGGCGCTATTTACAACCAGTTCAAGCAAACTGGCCGCTTCCCTAGAATGTGTTTGCAGTGGTTTCAATGCAAGGCTGCACGCGCAACAGCCACATGAAACCGACACCATGGGTGCACGCATATTTGGTACAGTGCCGTGTACCTGCAAACGATGAACTGCCAAACCATGAGAAACAGTCAAGTGCTTGAGATTGCTACTTCAGCAATGACCTAATTATTAACGCCCATCTTCCAAAAAACACCTGAGTGGCTTTCTGCCTACGACGTACGAAGAACCGCATTGTGACCATAGTCCCCTGACAAGTTTACTCAAACAGGCTCACACTGACTTTACGTTTGTCGCCAATAGATGAAAAAACTTAACCCTTGACACCAACGCACCATATTATTTGCGCGGTGGTTCGTCTCACTACGTGCTTCTTGCCTCCTACCATCGCAAACGTAATCATAATTAAGCCAACTCAACGTGCTCCACGATTAATGCCTCGAACCCAACCCCCACAGTAGAGGATACGCACCGAAGGTGCTCAGGGCGTGATCATCCGGATGGCATAAACAACTGTAAGGTACAGGTTTACCTGGGCAAAGGTATTTTTTGGTGAAAACAATGGGTTTTTGATAGGTCGCGACGGCTTCAAAAAACACTGTTGTTTACAGCACGGAATGGAGTAGTTCGTGCATGCGCCCGCCCGGAACCGGCAAGCGAAAAGTGAACAATAACAGTTTTTTTACAGTTGGTCTTCGATTTTCGGTTTTGAGACGCGCTTTTTTCATGTCTTGTCGGCCAGATTTTATGATTTCGGAGCTGTTTGGGTGACGGTTTTCGCCGTTTTTGTTGGGCAGAAACATCAGAAACATTGGTTTTTGCAGTGTTTTTGTGCATTGCCGAGGCTTGACGTCTTTGTGCGAAAATGTAAAAAACCTCGCAAGTTTGGCGACCATGTCGTTGAAAACGTCGCAAATTGCGGTGTTTTTTTGACAGCAAGTTTAAAAACACTGTAAATAGTGGTGTTTTGGGCCACAGCAAGCGCAAAACATCGCTATTTGCAGTGGCTTCTGCCTCACAGAGCATAAAAACACTGTAAAATACGGTACATAGTGAAGTTTTCGGCAACGTCAATACCTCGCTATTTCTAGTGGTTTTTGCTTTCCGGCGTGTGAAAACACTGTCAATAACGGTGTTTCGGCAGATGCAAAGCTCCACAATATATATATATATATCACGAAAGCCAGCCGATAGGCAAGGCTTGAGGTAGCCATGCGAACGAAGTGAGTAAAGGGTGTGTGGGGGGGTGTTGCGAGAAGGGCAATCTCGGAGAGGCTGACCCAGAGCCTGGCGGGGAGAGCGAAAAATAAGAGGTGGCCACTTGGTAGTGAACATGAGTAGTTTTGGGGGGTGTTGTGATGCCGGTGATGTAATTGACGGCCAGCAGTGCATCATTAGCATCACGAGGGGCTCAGCAGGCAATGTAAACCGTTTTCTACGAGGGGTGGGAGTTCATGTCAATGATAGGAAAGAGGTGACAACGGGACGCGAAAATAGTGTTCGACTAGGGGTGAAAGGGAGGTGTGTGTCCCTTAAGACATTCATTATCTTTGAGGAACCAGAATGCTGTGGGGAAGGTGGAAGACAGGCACAGCGTAGGAGGACGTGGTAGGAAAAGAGGGCTTGCAAGAAATGTTTCAGTTGCTTGGGGGCGCCCTTTTTTAATGGTGAAGACGCCTGTCAACTATACGCAAACGGGGGCCGCATATGGGGCGCGAGTTCATGTAACGCTGCAGTCCGTTGAGGGCAGGAAAGAGAACAAAATGCAGCGGGCAAGCTTTGAATTGCTTGAGGGTGTCCTTTTAACGGTGAAGAGGCCTAGTTGCCGGACTCAAAAGGGCACCCCATATGGGGTGGGAGTTCATGTGGACGAAACAGACATAGCGGAGGAGGGCGTGATAGGAAAAGAGGGATTGCAAGAAACGACGTGACCCATTCATTGAGAACAGGAAGGGAACATTGGGGGTGCAATATTATTTTGGTGAAGAGGACTGTTGACCAGACGCAAAAGGGCACGAACCTGTGTACCATGCTTTTTGTTTCTACCTCCTATAAGGTCGCTACGATGTCATTTTCACCACCTAAACGTATGCTTTGCCCGATGTCAGCCAATCCCTCCATCTCGCGCGCTCCAGTAGCTGCAATATCAACTTCACCACTTCCAGCCCTCTACCTATATACATATATGTCTCTTCCCGAAAGCCAACCTGGCCCCTCGACCCCCCATAACTATCTTTGCTCACTGGTTGGCGCCGCACAGCAAGCTACCACCCCTCACTTCCTTCGAGGGTGCCATTTTTCACACCTCCAAAACGTGCCCTAACCACGACGAAAAAGGGCACCCCCCCCAAACCTGTGTACTGTACTTTCTGTTTCTACCTCCTATGAAAGTGGCTGCGATGTCAACTTCACCAGTTCCGGCTACTCTTTCTCCACTCTACCTATATACATATACGATTCCTCCCGAAAGCCTGCCGATAACCTGGCCCCTCGACCCCCCATAACCATCTTTGCTCACTGATTGGCACCACACTGCCCTTCCAGGGTGCCTGTTTCACCTTTAAAACGAGCCCGAACCACGACGAAAAGGGGCACCACCCCGAACCTATGTACTATAGTTTCCATTTCTACCTCCTATGAGAGTGGCTGCGATGTCAACTTCACCACTTCCAACTTCCAGCTACTCTTTCTCCACTCTACCCTCTAACACATCTTTGACCTAAAACGAAAGAAAGCGGCCACGCTTGGAAACGCCAGCCTAACTCTAAGGGCACCCCCCTTGGCGCCAAAGCTGGCTTTCGTCCCCTCCCTTCTCATGTGTGTATATATATCTTTATTGCTGAGAGCGCGGGAGCTGAACGCAACAATCTGTCTGGATCCACACATACTAAATGGCAACATGATGAACCCTTGTGATATATATGGTGATGAATGAAGATAGCGCATACTTCTGGCGTATTGCCTTCTACGATCGTTGTTGCGTCATGCTATCACTCATCCGACTCGCTATTGACTTGTAGGGCAACATGCAAGGCGTGAGCAAAAACCTGTGTTTGTTTAAACTGTCCGTCTTCGATATTCGGTTTTGAAACGCGTGTTTTTTCCGTGCGTCTTGTCGCGTAAGCGCGGGGCCGGATTTTCTGATTTCGAGGCTGTGCGGGTGACAATTTTCGCCCTTGTTGTTGGGCAACTGTTTCATGGCGGTGCGGGCGGACCTTGCCGCGGAGCGGCGTGAATATGAGACGAGATTGAAGTGAACAAATTCAGAACAAAATTCATTCGATCTTTCACAAAGCTTCGAGATTGCCAGGGAAGGCCAGGCTGGTTGGCTTTAAATCTTTGGCAACTTTGCAAAACTTGCCTCCCACCCAACCCCAGGCAGAACGCAAATGCGGCAAGGCCCTGCACCTGGATGAGCTGACCGTTGATACTTTACCAGCCGAAATCACTTGTAATCTATAATGCTGGAGGCCCTGACTAGACTCCATATGGCAGCAAGCTTTTGCAAGCCATTGATTGGGAGTTTAGATCAGCAACCCCAGAGCACTTTTTCGTAAAGAGCCGAAATCCATGAAGGATGCCTCACTTGGTTTTTGCATGTTTTTGCCAGTCTATGTTACGCACGTTATGCTTTGCGCCAAATGACTTGCAGTTGGCGACCAAGGGTTAAACGGTTCTCAAGGAACCGCACCGTGGAAGCTGAATCTGCTCATCACCAATTGAATTCACGTGATGATATAGTATGAACGGACACAATATAATTGCAGTTGCTTTAGGGCTAGACACAGACTGCACAATACAACTATTTGTGCGGAACTCTCACTTCTGATGCCAACTGGAGCTTGGAGACAGCACCACATTGCCAATGCCGCTGCAATGTGATTCCAAGCGCCTTGGGGGAAGCAGACAATGATATCTAAGCTTCGTGCGTCTCACCTACAAGGGTTCCGAAGGTTCACAACACTATATCTGAATATCTTACGAAACATGGATTGGGGACCCCTGAGACAAATGACTTTTCGGAGGGATTCGACGAACCCGTGTTTTTATTTTGCAAGAGAGACTCGGTAGGCCTTGATTACTTTGGGTTAAGCTCCCTTGAGACTTTCTTGGAAGAAGTGCCGATACTGTCCGTTCACATGTGCAGATGCTCAACTCTATCTACAGTCATTTTTGCAGGGCGCTCGCCCTAATCCTTTTTGATCCGATCAATCATTTGACTGGACTCCAAGATTAACGGATATCAAACGGCTGCGTGCAAAACACTGAAATCGTTTCTCAAAATGTTCCTTTTCTCTTTGCTCAAGCCGGTCTGAGACGCCGACGGGTGTGTTTGTGTTGTTATTTGTTCTTTTTCACGCTTCACTTCAAACTGCGGGCTACACCTATGGCGCATGAAGCGAGAGCAAGCTGCATGAAGTTATATAAGAAAGTTCCTATCCTTGGAGAGCAAGTTTAGTTGCAGGATTTTGACAGGCGGGGATGGTCACAAGTATGCGGCGCACAACAGCGGCAACAGCGACATAATTCCATACTATGCAAATGATATGCCGCATGCATGTTCTAATCTGTGAAGACTGGACAGGCTCGCAAGATGCCAATACAGCATACTTTACTGTAAGTGAGAAGGCCACGGCTTGTGGAACTTTTTGCCATAGCTGCAAGGACCTGGCAGAAAAGAAACGCAAGGCAGAAGCAGATGCACAGGAAGCTGCTTGGTTGTCATTGTACGTCACTATACAATGAAATCGCGTTTCACGGGAAACATGTTCTTAAGTTAAAAGATGCAGGTCAAAATAAAGGTTATATATGTTTAAGAGTCCGTAAAAGGGTTTGTTTAAAGAAACGCTGCCGCATAGAACGTGGTGATGAACATGTGATTTGGACGTGGCACGAATGTGGATGCAAAAACGGACGCAGACGTGATGTTTTGACCTAACCACACACAACTTGCGCAATCCGAACGCGCCTCAACAGTCCTTCCCCATTGGGGGGTACTGGAGGTTAGTCTATACATCCACACTATGTATCAAAACGTGCCCACCACCTAGACATGTCAACCTGGATATCCCCGGGTTCAACACAGGTGAATTAGAGGATGACCACACATCAAATTCCTAATTCAAGGATCCATGGTAAGGCTGTCAAGCGAAATTTTTACGAAGGCATTTCTTAGCCCGTTGATACAGGTTGTGACGTTTCACAAAGGGTAATTCATCCAATATCGGCGGTACAACTAGAGCACACTCAAGATTCGGCTTGAAAGGTACTCGCACGTTGAGAGGGTACGGTTGAGAATATGCCAGCAAGAGTTTCATGGCTTCCTCTCGTTGTGGCAAAGTAGGCCGGGAGGCTATACCACCTATTAAACTACGGTGAAATCCCAAGCGGACCATGGTAGATGCCCCAGTTTTCTTAAATCGAGGATATAATTGCACCCCTGCTGTACTCTCGAGATATTGGACAACATTACGGAAATTTGTGGCCTGATGCCACAAGCTTTTGACTTCTGGTTTTTGAATGGAGACTTCTGGTGAGAAAAAGTCAAAGGGATGAGCTGGTTGGTGATCATTAACCTTAAGCCAAATGGGCATACAGCATCCTGCAAAGAGCGTAAAATGAAGCACCAATTCACCATGTGACACCATAGTCATTTTTGACCAGTGGGAGGTCTGGATGCCGCCATTGTAATTCTTGGAAGAAAAGCCATACATAATGTGCTATTCGCCGGCAGGACAAGCTTGAGCGATTACTGGATGTAGTGCATGAGAGAAAACCCACACAGGCCCGTCTACTTGCCAATTCTGTAGGCTATGTTGGGTGAACGAGATGGCATCGATACCTTGCTTGGTATCTTCCTCCATTTGTGTTTTCTCCCGTTCTTGTTTTAAGGCCGCGTGAAGGCCATTCAGTTCACATTTGGTTCCATAGCAGCTTATCGAGGTAGACTGCAAGGTAGACTGGATCATATGAGAAACTTATGATTTGGCTCTTTTAGGGTTAAAACGCGTTCCACAACGTTGAGATAGTCCTTTGTACTTTGTTTCCTGCCAATTTGTTCAGCATGCGTTTCCTCATAGTTTATGCAATGTGAATCCAAACATGTTTGGTGTGAGTCTATGCGGGCGTCCAAACCAATTCAGCGATCATGGTATAACTCAAGATGCTTTCATGGGTGATTGATTTGACTTGAAGCGACGCTATTTAGCTTTCGTGGCTTTCATGGGAGGAAAGCGCACAGAAATCTCACAAATCAAATTGACTCGACGATCAATGAGCCAAACGAACTGATCAGGATGGGATGGAAAAGGAACTGTGGCTGCCCAGCCCAAGCATTCTGCCATGTTTGTCGAGACATGCACCTTGAACGTACCATGTTCACCCTTCCCATGTTCACCCCCATGTTCAGAAATAAGCCAGATATGTGTTCCAAAATCTGGCTTATTTCTGAAAATGTAAAAGTGAAGTGGAGGTGAACATGGGGTATGCGAGGGATGTACGAGGTGCGCATGAGAGCGCGCAAGGTTTTGTGTGCATTAGTCTCGTGACATTCCAAATCACCTTCTGGAGAAAATGTTGCCTTTACAAAAGATTGGCTTCAAATTGAGAGCTCTTTTGTGGTGTAAGCAGTCCGCTGCACCTTTTGTCAACAAGATGCCCCTGTCCCGATCCTGCCAAAGATCGCAGGTGTCCTTTTATTCTTTTTCTCTCTCTCTCTCTCTCTCCTCTCTCTCTCTCTCTCTCTCCCTCTCTCTCTCTCCCTCTCTCTCTCTCCCTCCCTCCCTCTCCCTCCCTCTCCCTCCCTCCCTCTCCCTCGGGCGCTGGTGCGGCGGCTGGGCGCTGCAGGGCGCTGCTGCCAGATGTTGATGGCGGCTGTGTGCCGGCGCCGCTGCAGGGCGCCGCCGTTAGATGTCTTTGGCATGTCCCACCCACTACGACGACTACCGCAACATTATGGTTCGCAATTGGCTATCATTTGCTTAATACTTGCAAGTTCTGTTACTACCGAAGCTACACGACAATTCCGTCTACTATGAGCCCCTACCAATACCATGACGACCTCTGGTAGTACCTCTGGTATATTGAGTTTCCATCTCACGCGGCGTGCCAGTCGGGCCTAGCGGTTTGGCCCCCGAACGCAACGGTCAGGCCAAAGGTTCGGCCGCCGAACTTGAGTTTGGGCCGCCACTACTGTCTGTAACAAAGCAGCGCCTGCTGCAACCGCTACTACTGCTACTATATGGGCCCAATTTTCCAACAGCTTTCACTCATGCCGAGGGCATGCCAGTCGGGCCCCCGAAGTTCTCAAGGTTCGGGCCCCGAACGCTGGAGCTCCGAAATTCGGGCCCCGAACGCTCGGCCCCGAACTTTGCTTTAGAGATTGCGCGACCACTACAGAGTAGGCCGAGACAAGTGAGTGTAACAAGAACAGAGACAAGCAGGGAGACAAAGAGTATCTAAGCTGGGAGACAAGCAAAGAGACAAGTGAAGAGAAGTGTAGAAAGATGTAAGAACATCTGGCCAAGTGCATCTAGAGCAGGCCGAGACAAGTGGGAGACAAGTGTGACAAGTGTCTGGCCTAGAGTATCCAAGCAGGGAGACCCTCAGGGTGACACGTGTAAAATCATTCGGCCAAGAATATCTAAGAGGGAGACAAGCAAAGAGACAAGTGGAGTCAAGTGTACCAAGTGTAACAAGAAGGGTGACCAGCAGGAAGGCATATCTATGCAGAGAAAAAACAAAGAGGTGGAGACAAGTGAAAAACATCCGGCCGAGTACCTAACCGAGTAGGCCAAGACAAGTGGAGACAAGTGTACCATGTGTCAGGAGGAACGAGGGATCCAAGAGGGTCGCGCGGATCAAGCCTTTGTTGAAGCGCTTCTTCTTCTGGGGGACGTAAAGGCTTAGCTGAAAATACACAAAAGAATCTACCAGGACCCTCCAACAGGTCACCAATTCAAACCTGTTAGGGCCTAACAACCCTCCAAAGGGGACCTGTTGGAGGATGCTGGTATAGATTTAAAAACACTGTGTTTGTACGGCAGATGTTGATCTGTGGATTGCATTGTGAGTCAATGGATGGTCGAGACTGGAGAGATGAAGTGTTTTTACATATCGTGCTATTGGGATTTCCCGTTTTTTTTCCGTAGGGGCTGGCACAACAGGGCGATTCCTTCGTTCCCAAAAGCGTCCTGCGCGGCCGTCCATGGCAAAATCTAGTGGCGCCACTCGCGGCCGCCTCCCAGCTGCCACCGAGTGACTGAGCGAGCGAGCGAGTGAGTGAGTGTGGAATAAGGCTTCAGCTGCCAAGAAGGCAGCGCTGGATGCGAATACGGTGGCCCTGGACGATTGAGGACACCCGCGTTGCTCGGCGACGCAGTTTTGCGATGTAGAGAGATCTCACGACCCACTTGAACTGGCAGCCACAGGACCTTGCTGTGCTTAAGTGCGCTGCACAACAACTTGGCGCGAGCCAAGCAAGTGTGGAGGAGTTTCACTCTGCGTGGCGACATAGGTCAACTTGGCAAAAACCTTTGCAGAGAAATAGTTGTACCGAATTTGTTTGATCAGTTCGACAAAGCCCTTGAGATTATGGTTTATATTCTATTCAGTGTCATGGGCCAGCAATTCCCGATGCTATTGCGCAATGCAAAATGCGTTTGATGCGGGAAGGGGTTCTTGCCTTCGTGCGTTTGTAGAAGCTTTGTTTATCTTTGTTTGGCATTTTCTGTGTTTGCTTTAACTTGCTTTTGGTCGTTCGCTCCCAGCTTCCCTTGTGGCTCGAAAAGCATTCCAAGACTCCCAGCCTGTGCCTTCAGCCTTTGGTCTGCGCCATGCAGGACAGTGTTGAACTGCGCCAAATGCAAGTCAAACTGAAGTGTTGGTCCTCAGTAGCCATTAGCTGCTTGAGATCGCCGGACTCACGCAATATATGACGGTGACGGAGTTTCTTCAGTTCGACGCTTGTCCTCTGAGTCGTTTTCATTGCAAGCCTTCCAAATTCTTCCAAACTCAGGGCCTCAGGGACACTGAAGTTCGTTTGTTTATTTTCCTGTGTCAGGGTGTCAACTTCTAAGGGTTTTGAAGTCTTAAAATGCTGTAGTCGCGATGTTTCATCATTTCACCCTGTTCCCGTGGCGTTACCAGCTGAAATTGCTTTCCTAGTCGTGGGCAGGCGAAGTTCTTCGGCGAAGAACAAAAACGATTGGTCATATTGGTTTGACTGGTTAGCAGGCAATTTGGAAAGGGCTTCAGAAGGAATTCTATAGAACAACATCAAGAAGCGTTGCACAAACAAAGGCCTTTCAGACAGTTTCTCACACGCAGGATGCAATGGGCCGAATGTCAAACATTGACGCCAACGTGAACGATGCCTTCGCAAAACGAATGGCGCAGGCAAGCTTCTTGCGGAGGAAAGAAGATTGCGCGTGACAACTTACATGTCTGTGACGCAGCATGTCATTGCAGAGGCGGACCTTTTGCCTCGAGCGTCTGAAAAAAAGATTGCATACACATGACAACGCGTTTTGCCAAGTTGGTAGCGGAGCCTGCCCTCCGACTGACAGTTCTCACACGCTCTTCAGGACGACCTTGGGAGCTTAAGTCAGGACAGGACGGATCCTGGTTCTTGGATGAGCCAGCCAAGGACGTCACGCCAAACAATGGACCTATTGAGAAAATCACGTACAGAAAATGCACGCGACGTGAAGATGCACCTCAATCACCTCCTCCTCGACAGGTGGCCTACACCAAGTCTTCCGCCTACTGGCCGTTTCTAGAGCCTTTCAAAGCAATCCCACCCTTCGTCAAGCACTGGGTCCTCTGCCACCTGACCCGGATCCAATGGCCGCGAAAAGGCGAAAAGGCGCTGAGAGCGGTCGAGGCCTCGACCCTCAACGACCAAGGAGGGCTCCGAGAGCTCATTGGCCTGCCTTTGCAAAGAGGCCTTTTCACAAGCCAAAAAGCGGAACAGATGGAGCCCCTACCTGTTGAGAGAAGGAGGCAGCGCCGACGGTCACCAAGACGACCGCCAATTCAATGACCACCGACCATGGGGCGGCCTTGTCAACCTCGACGAATGCCACTCCGCGCATGAAAGCGGCGCGTGAGCGGACTGTTGCATTCAGAGTTGGAAGATCCCCATGAGAGCATGTCGTGCCAGAACGGAGTCAACTGTACCCTCTCCAGCATTCTGAAGGCCATCAAATCTCATTCAGCGCGAACGGGCACTACTACCGCACTAGGGTACGCGCGCCTTCGTCAAAGCGTATTACCAGAAGGCGGATGGAGCCCGCAGTCGGCGCTTCAAGCTTTTAGGTGAGCAGCGCTGCCAGGTTTTCACCGGCGTCTTGGACGGAATCAAGGATGCGCTTCACGTGGACCTCCAGCCAAAGAAGAGGACGACGCCGACCAGAACCAGGGCCATGATGATGAGGGCCGCAGCAGGCGACGCAGGCCTGGGACGAAGCAAGGTTGCGAAGATCGTTGCAATCGGTGGAGGGAAGCTACCCTGACACTCCAACCAGCCCTGGATTGAGGCTGCCAGCTGGAATCCAAGGAATCAAAGCTGGTTACCAGGTACAAGCTTGATTTGGAGGCTCTGAATTAGGGCTGGTAAAAGTAGGTTGGTGACCAGCCTCGTTTTTGGGCTGGTAGATTCCCAAGGAAGGGCAAATACCATGATGAATGCCAAAATGTATTTCGCATCGTGAAATTTAAGTTTCTTTCCTTTGGCTCCTGCTGCATTAGCCTTCTCAATGGTTTGCTTGGCCACTGTGCCAGGTGACACATTCTTAGCATGAAGGTTCACGCTGAAGGTCTGCCAGTCCTCAGAATCAGAATTGGCTCTCTTCCTTTTAGAAGAAGAGCTTTTGGCAGCCCAGGCCGTGTCCAGGGCAGCTAGGAAGAAACATTACACCCAAACCCAAGTTGTTGCTTTCAGTGGACTTCACTGCGAACCCACTACCTGCCTGTGTTTGAGCCCCACTGCAAACCAAAAAAAGCTCAACCCCCAACGCAGCCCACAATGGACTTTTTGAGCTCAAGAGTTGCTTGGCAGTTGACAGGTATTTAGAACCACCCTGCACGCTGCACTTCGCTGCCCAAGCAAAGGCCACAGCATCATCCTTCCACAAACTTCTTGCGCTTGGCCAAATCCCTTTTGTATTGCTTCAGGAGAGACTCACCGCACTCCTCGCAAGCTTCAGTCTCATCTTCGATGGTCTTGGGAAATGCAAGGTGCTTCTCCAAGAATTTTGCCTTTTTGTCTCCAGACTCAACTTCCAGAAGCTGCACTTGCTTCATGACGGGGGCTTTGATGTCTGAGGATGGCATCTTGTCAAGAGTGCTCGTCAGCGCTTGAAGTGGCCACACGCAGCAAGCTCTTGCGCTTCTTGTACTGGTCCTTGCAGTTCTGACACCACTCGGTTGTCACTTTCAGTCACCTCCTCCACTGTTTCATCCAGCTCCAGGCGCCTTGGCTTCGCAACTTGTTTCTTCTTTGTGGTGCGTGTGTGTACACATACTGCTTGACCTCAAGCCTTGCCAAGACCTTGTCCTCATGGTCTCTCTCATTGAGACCGCGGCCAGCTTGAACTCTGCAATCGCTGTGAACCAATCTTCATCTTCCACCACTTGGTGTCTTCCACGCCCCTCTTCTTGACTTGCTTCTCTGAAACTGCAGGGTCTCAGAGATACACACCAAAAAAATGTTTTTTTTGTTGTGTCTTGCGCTTGGGAAACTTGGTCTGCAGTTCTCCTTTCCCTTTGGCTGCAAAAGCTTTCATCTTGTAGTTCATGCGCTTTTTGCTTGATCCTTTGGGATTGGTGGACGCGGTTTCTCCTTGCCTGGTGTCTTGCGCTCGGGCCCTCCATCTGGGAGTCCATGAGGTGCTACCCTCGTAAGAAGGTGAGGCTTCAGGCTTCTTCATCCGCCAGACCAGCTTTTCACACATCTGGCAGAGTGAAGCTGGAAGGTTCTGTCATCTGGCCTTTGGACAGGCCAACCTGCCTCCCATCTCCATTTTTGCATTTTGCAAATTTGAAGCAAGTGGCCTTTTACAGGCCAACCTGCTTCCCAGGTCTACAGCTCTCAACTGCCACCTGCCTTCAGAAAGAAAAAATCTTCAGACTCTCCTTCCCCTCCTCCTCTTCTTTCACAAGCCAGTCCCAAAACATATCAGCCACCCATCTCCAGAACCTTATCCACTTGATCACGGTCAAGCAGGCCACCCAAAAATCCAGAGGATAAATTTCCATGGCAGGAACCTTCCTCAGACCAACGCAGGCGAGGCCTGAAAAAATACGGCCACCCTTGAGCCACAAACTAGCGATGGAGAGACATGGGGGTGACAAGGGATTAGTTTTGCGTTAAACAAGGGTCTACTTCACCAAAACTACCCCAGCCTTTTTCAATCAAGGGCAGGCCTAGCTGCCAGCGGCTTGCGTGGCCCTTTTTTGCAGGCCAACCTGCCTTGCAGGTCTTCACAGCCCACCCTTTTCACAAATCATTTTTGCTTTCATCGCCATTCAAAACAGTAAAGCTCTCCATTCTCCACTGTGGAAGTGGGCCTTGCTCAGGCCGTCATTGCTAGAACCACACACCTACAAAAAACGGCTGCAGGAGGGAAACTAGTTGCTCCAAAACCTTGTAAAGTTTTGCGTGTGGGGAGACTAGTTAGCGGTTTATAACGACGGCCAAAGAGATAGAAACTTTTTTGCTGGGTCCTTTTTACGTTTTTGGTCGTGTTTTTTAAATGCGCTTTACTTTTCTATCTTTGGTACCCCTGCATTCTTCCAGCAAACGCTAGTTTTTTCCTTTCTGCGCTCTGCTTTATGCTTTCGTTTTGTCCTTAAACGCTAGTTTTTCCTTTCTGTGCTCTCTGCATGCTTGCTTTATGCTCTTGTTTTGTCCTTAAATGCGAGTTTTTTCTTTACTGTGCTCTCTGCATGTTTGCTTTTTGCTTTCGTTTTGTCGTTAAATGTTAGTTTCTGTTAGTTTAACTTAAATCTAGCTATCCTTTCACTTCGTTTGGGCTTTTCTGTCATGTGCCCCCAAAAGGTTAGCTGCCGATTCCATGTAAAATGTTCATTGGCATGTCTAGATGTGCGTTTCTATCTCTCGTATCTATGCATAAAGCCCCGTCAAAACGTTTCAGCATTTCTTGGAATGTGTATGACTTTCCATCAAATTTCCTGTTGGAATCTAGCTGTCTAGTAAAGTTTATCTAAAAGGCTGCGGTCTTCAATTTTCCACCTAGAAATCTCATGCGTCTGTTCAACCAACGCCTTGCAAGTTTAGATATTTTTGAAATTACAGTATATTATTGAATCAATCTTGGCTGTCCTTGCTCCTGCTAGAAGCTGGGTTTCATTCCACGTCAAAGTTTCCACTGGCAAATGTAGATCTGCGTTTCTATCTTTGGTTTCTGTGCGTATGTTCCACAAATCATTGTCCTTCAGTATCTTCTTTGATGTTGGCTTTCAAATCAGTTTGTTCTCTAAGAACCTACATCTCCTTTCAATTATTCAAGTTTCCTGATTAAAACCGTATACAGGATTCCTTTCAATATCCGTTTTGAACCAACTAATGTCCTTTCCCATTACCCTGCTGAATCCCTTTTAAACAAATCTTTTTAAACATAATATATCATGTTTCAATGGATTTTCTGCTGAGCGTGTGCTAAAAGCCTTGAAGAAGTATTGTAGAAGTCAGTTGTTAAAATACAACGGTTTCAATTGACAATTGACTTTTATCGTAATTTCAGCAGAAAATCCCTTGAAACGTGATATATTCTGTTCAAACATATATTTAGAAGGGATTCAGCAGGGTAGTGGGAAAGGACGTGATGTTTTTTAAAAGGGAAACCATAGAAAAAAACCACCAGGTTCGACTTGATGTTGTTTAACCCTATGTGTTTTTCCACGCGACCCCAGAGATGGAAACGCAAACACACTGAAACACACTGATTTTGTTTCCATCTTTGGTTTCCCTCCAGTTTTTGCAGTGAAATACCAAAGATGGAAACTTGACCGCACTTTCTGAAAAAATAACGTCCAAAAAGCGTCTGATTTTTTGCGAAGTTGAGTTTCTATCTATTTGGCCGTCGTTATACCCTTAAACGCATTACGCATGTCTTCTTGGCACAAAACAATTGAGTTGATGTGACCCTGCCCCTCCACCCCAGAAACCAGCTAAGCTAAACCTTTTCCACACATGCTCCAACCGCTGCCATCAACCCACGCATTACCCAGGCCAGCTCATCCCAAGCCTGAGACTAAAGCATTTCTTTTTTGAATCACAAAGGCCTTTGTCAGGCCACCCTGTCCACAAACATAGGACATGAGCTCATCCACCACTTGGTGGCGCTTGTTGACTAGACAGCTTCAAACTCACGCGCGCCTGAGTCTCCTTCACAAAGCCAAAGGAAGGAGATTCCTTCCAGGCGCCTCCCCTTTTCGTGACAGCGACAGGCCCCTTCAGGCCACCCCTCATGGAAGCAGAAAGCTTTTTTAAGGGGGGGCGACCTTAAGCTGCTGCGCAATGACCTGTGGCTCGGACTAAACATGTGGCTGTTGGCTCTGGAGCACTAGAGCTAGCAGGAAGAGCTTTCAGCGCGGCCGCCAGCTCTTTCACCCAAGGTTGCATCCTGGCTCCTGTCACGCAATTCTTGAGCTTCCTGAGCACATAGTCAATTGTGGCCTTTCCCAGGCCAGGGAACGCTTGTCCCCACGCCTTCCTTTGGGCTTCAATACCAGGGCAGTCTACGCGCACCAAGCTTTCAGAGCTTTACATTGGCTTTCACCTATGGCTTCTTCGTTGCCTTTCCGCGCAGCTTCTTGGAAGCCAGTGGAGAAGGAACCATTGTCCACCTTTGCCAGTCCTGTTTGCCATGGTTTTCCCCACACACAACTGATCAGCGTTGCGCTTGAACCTCAAGAAAGCCTGCAAGAAGAGCATGTGACCTTGAAATCAACATGCTTTTGTCAGAAACCAGCCTCAAATCAAGGCTGGTTACCAGCCTTGATTTGAGACTGGCTTGGTACAACAAACTCTTCAAATCCACCAGCCCAAAAACGAGGCTGCTAGCTTCAAATCTTGGCTGGTAAAACTGGGCTGGCGAAATCAGGGCTGCAGCCGGCTGATGCGCGACCCCAGCGTTCCGTTGCAGAACACAAACGATACTCAAAATCGAACTCGCGAGGAACTAACTGAAACATCTTTGGGGCGCGCTCGCGCATGTTGTTTTTAGTGGGCTACTTGGCCACCAGAGCGCAAGCCGTGTAAACATTATACAGGGTTCCCTTCATCGCTTGACAGGATAAAAACGGGCAAGGATATCGAAAACGCCTTGCTGCCACGCAAATTCTCCACTCTTTTGCGATTGACGTTGAGGGTGAAACAGGTCACGTCAGTGACAGCTGTGGAAAGAGAAATGCTCTTCGGAGCAGTGGACGTACTGCGCAAGGAAAATGGAACGCTGCAGCATGCCATGTCACGCACGCTTCCTCTGAACACTTGTCGCAGATACTTTTCACTAGTCTTGCGTTTTTCGCGCTTGCGCCCACACTTAGTCTGTGTAGCGGTTTTTGAACGCTAAGCAGGAAAGGGCTATTGTCGTGTTGGTGTGCCCGGACGCTGACGCGAGCAAGGTGCAGGCAGAATTAGAGGAGATGCAGAAGGTGCAGAGCGAGCTGAAAGGGCAAGAGGCCAAATTCCTCAAAGCTGTCCAAGGCCTCCAGCCCGCGCGAGTTGCAGGGGTAGACAAATGTGTTCGGCTTGTCGCGCGCAAGAGAACTTAGCTTCTTTGACAATTAAATCCAATTCTCCATATTCCCCAACGTTTATATTTATTCCCCAACAGCAAAGCTTTAGGTGTCTTCAACCATAGTATAGACTTCGGGGCAGATCGGAGCAAGCTCCGGAGCAGGTTCCGGAGCAGGTGGATGCCGGAGCAGGCTCCGGAGCAAGTTCGGAGGATGTTCCGGAGCAGGTTCGGGAGGAGGTTGTGGGGCAAGTTGCAGAGCAAGTTCTAGCAAAGTTCTGGAGCAGGTTCCGGAGCAGGGAGCAGGTTTATTCGGAGGAAGGTTCCGGACAAAGGGCCCAGAGAAGGGGTCATCTGCTCGAGCAGACGAGGCCTAGACGGTTTGATTGGGATCCTCGGTGTGATGGGGTTTGTTCCGGAGCACTGCAGCAATGAGCGCAGTGATGTTAGTCTTCCTGGAAGTCTTCGGGCATGGGCCCGCCGTGACAAGGTGGGTTATGCATCAGCACGAAGCTTGATGGTTTGCGACGTAGTTTTTCAAGAATAAGAACACGACATGTTTCTAGCTGTTGGCGGTTTTTTTCTATTTTTCATCGCTGTGGGTCTGTTGCTTTGTTATAGGGGTCCCACTGCATGACAATAATGATCAGAGGCTATCAGAGGGACTTGGAGAACATTGCTCGGCAAATAGGCCTCGACCTTGCGTTCAGTTTGCTAAATTTGTGTGAGTCAGTGAGTCGGCTGTGCGATTGCACGTCAATTCTGCAGGGGCAACAAGTCGGCCACAAGCAATGCAAAAAGTGTCGGTTGCGCTCGCGCGTCCTCAGCGCGCATTTGGTCAGGGCACGCCCAGACAAGAAAACACAAGATCCTGAAGGCCTGTTTGGTGCAATCTGTTCTTTGGTTGCTGCTGGCGAATGTGTAGGACCTGGATCATTGCAACGATGAGATCAAATGTTTAGAGAAGAAGAAGGAGGCCTGACGCGTAAAAACTTGTTTGGGTAGGGCGTGCCATTCTTATAATCGAAAGGTTGCTTTGACATCAGTGTCAGCCAAATTTTGCGCCCTATAGCACGCCAGGAGACGGCTCGCAAAATGTGTGAGCCCGGATCTTGAGAGTTCAGAACAAAGTTGAGTTTTCTGAAATTCTTGCGATGTCCAGGGTCACCACGGAAGCAGAACGGCTGTTGGCCCAGACAAACCCGTAGTAGCTTATAGAGGATTTACAGTTCGCCCGGTTTTTCGATCCAAGTGTCGATTTGCTTCTGTAAGGAAATGGTTGGAGGACCAGTTGTGTTGCTGAAGTACATGCGACTGCAACTAATTTGCTGAGGGTGAGGTTCGAGAAGCTGAATGCTGCAAGTGGCATCGCACCTAGCGTTTCCATTAGTTGCATCGCGTGAAGATATTTGACGCCGTACCTGGACACGCATTTGTTGTTAAATATTTTGGTGCGTAGTGACTCCCAGCCTGCTTTGGGGCCCCACAACACCATTTGTAATCATAATTACCATTTCATGAGAGCAAGCAAGTGAGAAGCTACCACTGCACTTTTTGTTCGTGCGCTTTCAATGCTTGCCACTGTGCCAGAAAGCCTTCATTTCGCTTCGAAGCCCGCAGCGACCTGAAAGTTCTCCAACGCAGCGAAGAAGAAATATCAAAAAACAATGACGTGTTCAAAGGCTTTGGCTTCAATGAACCTCAATCGTCCTGTCACTTGTTACTTGCTTGGCTTGCGGCCATCAGTCCCATATGGCCTCCAACGCGGGCGTGAACTTGTGCGACTTGCTAGCAGAGGTGCAAGTTGGAGATCTGATGTCGAAAAAGAATGAAAAACATGAAACCAGATCTTATTCCTGTTCTTGGAAGTGCAGAAGCAAAGCCAAGGAACGCATGCTTTCCTAGGACCGAAAGCGTGTTCAAACAAAGCGCCCTGATGCCAGGGTTCTTCTTCTGGCGCCGGACCCTCGAGTGAATTGTGTGTTTGTTACGCGTTGGGAGACCTGTTCGGCGCATGTCATGTCAGGGTTCGTTGTTTTTGTGAACCAGCTTGAGTTTGCTGTGCATCCGTTCCCACAGCATGACCTCGGAGTTCACTCCTTGAACAAACATGGGGATGTATGAGCACCCCCAGCGGGCAATTTAGTAAGAGCAGTTCCCAAAGTACTTACAGTGCGCAAAACAGAAAGCGGGAAGAAAAACCGCTAACGATGGATGACGTCACACGTTTCGACGAGGGCATGTTGATTCAGGAATGCTCGCAACGTGTTGCACTTATTGATTTTAATCTGGATCTGTGCGTTCATCATCCGCTGGCGTGATAAAAATCAAAGTCCGCTAGAGTAAACGACGCAACCCAGCTGCGCAAGAACCTCATCAAACAGTGGAGACTGAAAGAAAAGTAAGCATCCTTGGCTTCCCAACAAACCTTACATAATAAACATGTAATATATCGCAAATCATTGAAAAACGATGAAGAATATTGAAGAATAACATGATTTATACTACAGATACAAAGCTCTTGCTTGCAAAACGATAAGAGGAAAACATTGCCGTTTTTGCAATAGCACAAGGTATGGAGGTTGCTATGTTTCACGATCCACCACACAAAACATGTGAATCCACCCTCACTTATCCATGTAAAGACCAGGTTGCAAGATGCGATGCTTGATCCCTCCTGTTTTTGTACAGTTTGTTTCGCGACATTCGGCTTACCAGGGCCCTTGAGCTAGAAAAGTGTGCGTGTCCGCCCAGTCACACCAGTTTCATACTGGTAGCGGAGCTGGATCCTGCAGAGGACCAGACTCAGGACTGTGTAGGACGATCCAGGAATCGTAGAACCGAGCCCAATCCACTGCGCTGCGCTTGTGCTTTGCTTCGTGCATTGGTGCCAAATTCGTAGTAATTCGTCCTTCGTCATGAGCGTGAACGACTCCGGTTTGGAGCCGGTGCTTTCTCGTCGAAGGGACCTGTGAGACCAAGACTGGCTCCGCGATCTATTGGGGAGACCCCCAGTCTTTCCATGATTGGGAATTTCGCATGCTCCTCAAGATCCAGATTCTTGAAGCCAATGAGGCAGCTGCCGCAGAGCTGGCTTCGAAACTGCCGAGGGTGAGAGGAAGGAGCGTGATGAATTTGAAGCAGGATTAGACGAGGAAGGATATGAGAAGTTTCCATCCACAGAAGCCCCCAAGGCAGTCCCCAAAGTCGTCAGAGGGAGCAACCACCAGGTCCAAGACCATTGAAGCAGACATCATGAAGGATAGAACCAACCTCATGTCCAAGGTCATGGAAGGTTTGAGAGGTGACGCCTTCTTGGTAGCTAGAGACATGGGTATCAACGCTTTGGTTGCCGATGGCGGTTTGCGTGAACTAGTGCGTCGTATCAAGCAGTCAGTGTTTCCAAGAGCTAGTGAAGAGGCTAGGGAACTCTTCCGCATTGGTCAGGTCAGATCTGGCCCTTTGAGCAGGCAGCCTAGTGAATCAATGAGATCCTACTGTGACAGGCGTAGGAGATGGCGGCGCACGCTGCAGGAGTTGGACTCCTCCACTTCGTTGAGTGAACCCATGCGCTGTGAACTCCTCATTGAATTGTCAGGATTGACACATCAAGAAGCTTTGGTCATCAAGGCTTGCGCAGGAAGTCCATTGTCATTCGAGAAGGTTGCCAACACGTTGATCGAGCACTATGGTTCTGTGCAATTGAGAGGTGGAAGATCCCTGGGCCATCAAGGACCCAGCATGGGATCAGGAAAAGGGAAACCATCCACGCATAAAGGCAAAGGAAAAGGCAGGAATCCTTGGCGCACAGGCTATTTCGCAGAGACCACCAGCGTTCAAGACGACTGGGAAGAAGAAGCTGCAGAAGATATTGCGGAAGATGAAGAGCCCCTTGTTGGTTTACTTGCAGGAGCTGATGAAGAAGAACCAGAGGAAGATGAATATGAGCATGAAGAAGTAGAATGGGAGAGTATTGCACTCAACGCCATGGCTGACCTGGAAGGCAGTCAAGACATTGATGCATCATCGTTAGGAGAATCCATCCAGTTACAGATTGCTGCACTTGCCGCATTTGGGAAAGCAAAAGGAAAGAAAGGAAAAGGCAAAGTCGTCGAAGTTGATCACAGCTGCCGCCCAAAGTTTGCGAGCAGCTGGCGAGTGGGCATCTGCGCAATCCATGCAGCAGAAACCTGAGTGAAAATCCTTAGACTGCAGGTACATGTGGGTACTCTCAGTCCTTAGTGTGAAACTATCGAATTAAGTATTATGTCGAATCCGCCAAAGCCGATCGATCGTGGAGGCCATATGTCGGGAAACCTTGTTGTTCAAGGGTGACCGTAAAACATGCCAACCGAAACGCTTCTGAAACCAGTTGGTGGGAATAGCAAAATCCACAGGATTAGCTACACAGTTCCAAATCAAGTGTTCCATCGTACCTACTTCCGTGTGACAGAAGGGACAAAGTGATTGATGGAAATCTTCATGTTTAGAGGCACTGAAAAGTGCAGCGGACGATACGAAAGAGCCGAAGACGGCAGCACGGGTGGCACCGTTAGCTTCCAACTCTTTACGTGTACCTTTAAGATCAACCTGAACAAAGTGATCAAACCCAGTGTCACCCAGTTCAGCTAGGAGGCGGGCGTCTCGGCGTTTCCGTTTTTTGAAGTTCAAGAAAGCCTGAAGGCGATGACCTTGCCTAAGGATGTGAAGTTGCAACCCCAGTGGTTGATGACTGTTAACCGAAAGATCCAAGGACTGTTCACTGTGTTTGAAGAAGTCGTTCCATTTGACCGGGGCCTTCCAGACCCAAGGTTCCGACTCGACAAAACCCAGGTTCTTTATGCCCAATCGAAGATTGTGAACGGACGAAAAGGGGGTTCTCGGATTCCAATGATACGACGGTCGATTCAACTTTAACGCTCGGGACATGCGACTCCATCGGCGCGTAAGAATGACAGTCGGGAGCCAGCTTAAAGTTCCGTAGAACAAATTTCGGAGGTCACGTGATGCCCCTTTGCCAGTTTGCAAACAATGAGTAAGAGTGTTAAAGGTGGCATCCGCGACGGACCGGAGAGGGTTCATTCCGATCCAACCATAGGCAAGCTTGCTGACCACCAAAGATTGAAACGCTCTTAGCTTAAGAGTCCAGGTAATGGGAGCCGTGGCCAGGATTAGCGCACGACGCGCGGCCGCTTCAATGCGGTCACTCTCTTTCTGACTGATTTTCCGTTTTTTTGAGACCGAGGTGACTCCAAGGATCGTTACCTCGTCGTGAAGATTTTCCGGATAACGAGCCGAAAACACTTGACGATCCGCAGTGCTTTTGGCCGCTAGTTGCGTTTTTTGAGGGGATTCTTTGAGTCCCACGTTTTGAGACCAAACATGCCACCTTTCGATCCGATCCAAGATGGCCTGGGAGGAATTGGACCAAAAACTTCTGTCGTCCATGTAACAAACCGTTCGGAATTCAACTTTCGGGTCATGGGGCACATTCTGTTCAATGCGCCGCAATCCTGCGGAGACCCAAAAGCTCAGTAAAAAAGGGCTCAAAGGGTCACCTTGGGGCATGCCACCGCCGGATGACAAGGTTCGAGGGTGAACATGATTGTCGAACTGCAAGAACCTCTCATGTCGACCCCACACTTGGCCCAAGAGTCGCGCCAACGGTGGCGCCAGCCCTGTACGCTGCATGGCACCAACAGATATGGCTGGAGCCATTCTATCAAAGGCCTGAGCCCAGTCCAGAGTAGCCAAGCAACCCTTTTTCCGTGAATAAACATCCTGCAGCTTTTCAGCCAAAAGTTCAGCTCCAGCCATACCTTGCCCATGTGCGACATCTGCATGGAGATGACGCCCGGCCCAGGCTCTAAGCTGATGGGACTTACCCCAAGAGGAACTATACACCCGCCAAAAAACGGAAAGAACCGAAATTTTGATTACCAAAAACCTTTTGGGGTTTGAGCAGGTTGACCTGTTTACTTTCCCTCAGCTGTTGGGGAACCTTACCAGTCGAATACCACCGAAGAGAACAGCGATGCCACACCTTTAGGGCCTGCTCAGGAAGGACTGCAACCTCAACGCCGGCCCAATTGTCTGGGCCTGCCGCGCCCTTTGCGGCACGGGCCGCCTGCGTGAGCTCACTAAGAGAGATGGGTCGCCAAACCCACTGTGTCGCCGGGCCGAAGTCGCGAGCAAGCTGATCGGCGCAACATGTCGGATCCAAAGCGTTACTTTGCCACAGGTCAGACCAATACTGATGTATGTAGGAGGCAATCTCCTGCGGGTGAGTCGATACTTTGTCTTGGAAAGAAACGGCCGCGGAAACGACCGGCTCAGCTTTCTGACGGAGCCATCCGGAAATCCCTTCAAGGGTGGGGTCATTTAATCGTGCTTTCCAGCGCTTAATATTATCCTGTTTCTGATCCGCCTCAATTGTAGGAAGATTGCTCTGGAGCTGAAAAATGAGGTCATCCAACTGTTTGATGTGGTCAGAGAAGTCTCGTTCAGGGTCCAGAGAGAAGTCGATTTTGTTCAAAAGAGAAGTCGGGGGAAGAATGTTCTTTAAACAACATCGACGGGCTTCGAACGCTCGAGCCAGCTTCCTACGAAGCCTCCGAACTTTTCGCCCGGCCGCGGATCGCCTCTGGCGACCGCCGCTCCGTTTATTTGCTGCCAAGTCGCAGGGGCACCTTTTGCCGACAATCCTGGCTGCCGCAAAACTTTCTGTATTTCCCTATTTTGTTCTTCAGTATTTTGGGGAGCCCGGCCAATCTTAGTGAAGGCCTGGAAAAAACACAGGTTCAAACAAGCCATAAAGTGGTCCCATTCCAGTTGCACATCTTCTTCACTGTCCTCCTGAAACGGTCTGTTGAGTGCGTTCAAAAGGGAACCATACCGTGAAGAAGGTATGACATGTTCAGTCCAGCAAGTTTCGAGAAAGGAAGTCCAATCTGGTTTA